AGAAATCTACAGATATAAAAATAAACAAAAATGACGAATGAATAAATATTTGTACAGATCTAAACTTTTAAGCCTTGGCCTCTAATTCAGCCTCATAATTTCCGAACATACACATTCTCGTTACTACCAGTCACGATTTTTCAAGGAAAAAGCGTGACAGTGGTATAGGGCATTGTGAATTCGCTTTTTGAAAATTTGGTATTGCTTTATGAATAAACAACTACCCAGGCCAATCTGCTACAATTGGAACAACTCTATCAGATAAGTGCTGAATATCATTATTAATGTCTAAAATCATCTGAAGCATTGTTATATAATCATTCATAGAATGCATATTGCCTTCTTTAATGCCAATTAATTGTACGTTCTCTATTGACTATTCTTTTTTTTTCTCCACAATTTATTATCGTAGGTATGAACTATAAGTAAATCAGTTCAATCAAAATTATCGAAACTAGATTTTTTATAGGTAAGCCACTGATTCTTACGATTCATATAAGAGACATATTCCATGGTATTGATGAATTAATCAAAAACAGATGGTACTTGCATCAATTGATGTATGATTGAAAGCCAGAGGAATTGGTCGCAAGTTGAAACTTGCTTGCAAACACAAGTAGCCATATGTTTTCAGTATGCAAATTTACTGAATCAGGCCTTCGCTTTTCATGGATGTTATAGTAATCATCCAAATTATAAACGTATAGATAATTATTCTATTTACAAATATTAATATATTTTTAAAAATATTTATTAGATGATTCGAAAAATGAAAAAAATCCAATAGAAATTTGCACAGATTGAATACATGAATACGGTAATATAAATAATTAAGTTTTGTTAAATTATTTTAATATTTTTAAAAAATTTGCTTATTTTTTATGAGGCTATATAAAGTTAATTAATTGTTTCTCATAAGTTACTATTTTATAATTAAAAATTAAAAGCCGGGTGGATAGGTATTTTTAAAATTTTATATTATGAGAAACAATTATTTAATTTTGTATAGTCTTAACATCTTATACTATTTTATGTTAAACTTTGAACCTATTTTTTTTTCTATTTATTCGAAATATATCCAATTTTTGCAATTAGTTATATGATAAAAAAAAAGTTAAGTATTTTATAATTGGTTTGTTTAAGAATTTATTTGATTATTTTAACCAAATTTTTTCATTTTTATGCATAGTATCGGTTTCTCTTCCTGCTATCAAACTATCAATAATTACGAACATCCCAAAAAAATCCGAGATTATTTGCTGAAAACAAGTATGGTCAAGCTCTAATCAGATTCATGTCGCTTTTTATACAAAAGGTTTGTAAGCATTTTAACTTGTTCAGCAAATGTATAGTTTATAATTAATTCTATATTGATTAATAAATAATATTTAAGAACACTTAGATAATGTAGGCGCATTATATGCTTATTACAAAACTCAAAGAGGCTAGGTTAGTCAGTTCACAAAAAATTCTTGATCCTGTGATCTCCAAGCAATTTGGACTATATTCGGGCTATGAATTTTATACAAGATTAGAATTTCAAATATAACCTATTGGTGCACCTGGTTTTAGCGCAACTATGTTGCGCAGCGCCTTATTAAGTTTAATAATAGGCAATTGAATTGTTGCGTTTTAAGCTTGGTCTGTCTGAATGACCAGGCTTGTTTGGATATCATGGGACTGGCAATTTTTTGTGACATGACTAACCCACCTAACTTCAAGGGTGATCTTCCATTATTATATTTGTTACCTCGATTCGTATTATCTTCATCTATTTCTACCAAATTCGGAGCTTTTAACATTTGATTAATGTCAAGTCCGATGCTCATTGTTGAATTAGAAGTTTCTACCGTTTTGCCTCTGTCAGGTTCAACAATGTGCATATAATGTTTATGACACACCTGTTGCCCAATTCACAAATAATCATAAGAAGCATAAGTTCCTTTTTTTGGGCTTTCTCATATGCTAATTTTGTAAATTGACGGAAACGACCTGTTTCAACACAATTTTTTATGGAACAAGGGCCTTCATTTTTTGGAATCATGATTGCAAATTTTAGTATTTAAAGTATCTAAAGAAAATGGTAGCACATCAACAGTATTGTAAAATGTTAATTTAGAATGGCGCGTCGGTACATATTAAAATTGCTAGGTTACGTTAGACAAGCTTGCAGAGCTGTGTACTCGATATGCATATAGATTTCTATAAAGTTTATTAAATAGTGCATCTAATAATTTCATTAAATAATGGGATGAATACTTTCATGAATGAGTAAATACTTTTATTGAATAACAGGTTACTTTAATAAATTTTATATTTTTGTCGGGACTTAATATACAAGTCGCTCTCGTTATAGTGAAATGATCCGTTCCATTAATAAAAATTTATTAAAAATTCATTATATCGAGAGTAATATTAGTAAATTCACTACATCGAGAGAATTTTATATAAACTGACTTTGAGCTTAAACTTCACTGTATCTAGATTTTAATTAGTCTTCGCTAGATCAAGAGTTCACTGTAACGAGAGTGACTTGTACTAGTAATACGATTAAAATAACATACTATAATAGCATATAGGCACAGTATGTTAATTAAATTAGCCAATCGGAATTTTTATTTATGCTTATGACAATACATAGATTTTTGTGTAACTGGAATAATATTATTTAAGGCTAAAATTTTAGTCGTTATAATGTTACAATGTCAGTTATTCCGAATTTTAATATGGCACAAGAGAAAAGGACAACCAAATCTAAATCCGAATACTTTTTAGATAATGATGAAGCATCTTCAAGTAGTACAATCAAAAAAAGGTTGAAAAGAGCCCCTACGGAAGACTCAGAAGATGAAGTTAGTCTTGAAACTCATAAAAAAAGAAGGATTGGAGAAGGCCAGTTAGAAAAACTTTCTATCAATTACACCGTTGACAACATTATTCAAAAAACAAAGAAAGATAATAATGAGCTCATGAGTATTCTTAGTGATTTAAATCTTGTTAAGGTTGCAAAAAATAAGATTACCGTCAGTTTTAAAGAATCGATGATTATTGATCTACCACAATTAAGCGAAAACAAATTTCAAAGTCGATTCCACATTAGAGAAGGAAAATTGTCTTTCATTTGTAGAAGAAATTGCATTAACATTTTTAAGCAAGTTAAAAAATCCATCGATGAAAATAATATATCTAGAGGTCTACATATATATGGGCCTTCTGGTTTGGGAAAGTCATACAGCATATTTTACCTTGTTGCACAACTGCGCTTGCATTTAGATTTTAGGGTAACATATATCAATAGCTGTGAATTGTGGTGGCTAAGTCATAAGGATGAACCATATCAATTCTTACTTAATGAGTTAATATGTACATTACAAAATCTGGAATCCATCCATTGCTAAAATCTTTATCATTACTCGAATCGTAAACACTCATTGACTTACTTATTTAAATTACTAATTTACTTACTGCTACAATTAACCCATTAATATTAAAAGCACTAACCGATCTGCTGTTGAAATAATAAATCACTCGCTTTTCAAATCGCTCACCCATTTTTAAAATCACCAACACCAATCGTTAAAATCATTATTCTACCCAACATTAAATCGTTAATCACCCATCGTTGCAAATCACTTACTTACCCATTCATTTTGGAATTATGACCTTACCAATCATTGAAATCATAAAATATAGAAAACAGACAAATAAACCTTCACAGTGTCAATATAAGTATAGATGGTTCGTTATTCGCAAAAAATGCTCATTGACTAAGTTATGCAGCTGCATGTTAAAGTTTTGTACTCAACACTAACCATTTATCAATCAATTCTATCACCCAAGCTTTATCAATGAAATGACTTTCAATAAAAAATTCATGAAATTGATATATACTATAATTATACTAATTTTAAAGCAATGACTGAAAATTTCATTTTCATTATTTTCTTTATATATATTGTAATTAAACATATTTGAGTGTCGCTAAAAGAAAACATGAAAATTTAAATATAAGTCATATTTAAATTTCAGATTTTGTTTTAGCGATACTCACTTACTAATCCCAAATAAATCTTCACGTTTCTGGTTTTAGCGCGACTACGTCGCGTAGCTACCTAATTGTTCAACTACATACATAATAACTAGAAAATTAGTATTCAACAGGGATCTTTGAAAATTTATTTTTGAAGACAATTTATGGTAAATAAGAAATTTTAAAATTCTGTGTGATGAGTAGTCGCAGTAATTAGAAAAACACAGTAAATACCCCATAGTTATTTTTTGACCAATACAGCAAAGATATCATAGCTATTAGCTTGTACATTTTATTAAAATAATATTATCTGCTTAGCAACAATAATGATTATCATAATAATTTTCTTTCACAAAAAAAATATCAATGAATAAAAAAAAATGCAATTACAAATTATCTAAAACTGGAAATTGATTTTTAACCTTCGAAAATGCTAAATGTAAAGAACCCTTCTTCGAATCATTTTTAAGAATACGATCAGGTGCAAACCAAATATACTTAATATCACTTTCTTTTATGGTACAGCAAATTGCCCATTTATTTTTCAACGAACC